GTCGTTATTTCTATAACGACATCTTGAACACTGAAATAGCGATACTGAACCATGTTTCCTAGGGGAATGCAGGACAGGTTCCTGTGACCTCCAGTCAAAACACTTTTGTTTATTGTCAGTTCTTATCCTTGTTTTATGTGCATTTCTGTTCAAAGACACCTTAATATATATTGTGATTCATTAATATTGAACTCACAGCCACAGCGCTATAACTCATGCCCAAGTGAACTTATCTAACACATGTATTTTCTCATAAGGCACGTACAGCCTTCTTGCATGTACGAATACTAGTCTGTATTTCACTATGCTTGGGGCCATCTTCAAAGTGAATTACCAAAAAAAAAAAAGCATAAAAATGCAAAATCATGCCAAGTAGATGGCAATAGACCACTTGTTTGCAGTGTAAGAGCTGAAACAAGAAGGCAGCCTTGTTCCCTCCTCGCTGGGAATGTGCATGTTAGTGACACATTTTTTACCACTGTGCTGCCTGAAAATGACTGCTGTGGGTATTTGGGAATTACAAATAAATTTTAGCAAGAAGTCCAATGGCAAGTAGGAATCTGCGATAAGGAGGATCAACCGTATGTATCTCTGTTTTGGTCCAATTCAGCCAATTTAAATTTCTTTTCTTTTTTTACAGGTGTTCAGAACAGGCTTCTTATGATTCCTTATGATTCTTTATCAATAGGTCCTGTAGGGCTTATTGCAACTTGTCTTTTGCTCTCTTTCTTTGAAGGTACGTATGCTTTTTTCAAAAAAAAATTAGTTTTCAAACTTGAATTTGTTTTCAAGGCCAGAATATAGTTTGAAAATGAAAACAAAGTCTGAAATTTTAGACATTTGAAAAGAAGGCAAAACATTTTTGTTTTACTTGTTTCTGGGGTGCTGAGTGTGCCTGTTTCTGTATTATCTTTTTTTTTTTTGAGCCAGAGTCCGCTCGTTGCCTGGCTAGAGTGTTGGCACAGCCTAGCTTATACGCAAAAATCAACTCCTGCTCAAGGATCCTTCTGCCTCAGCCTCCCAACTAGCTGGATAACAGTGCTTACCACCACGCGCAGCTAATTGTTTTGTTTGTTTGGGTCTCGCTTTTGCTCAGGTGGTCTCGAACTCCTGATCTCAAGGATCCTCCCCCTTCAGTCTCCCAGAGTGCTAGGGTTAAAGGCATGACACCACACTAGCCACTTCTGCATTATCTTAAATGGAATAAATCTGATCACAGAGAAGTTTACAAGCTTGGAACATAGCCTAATACCCCTGGACCTGTTTCATGGTCTCCTTTATCCCTGTACACTTCAACATATAGTTATGCTTCTAGTCTCCCAAGCCAGAGTTTGCTAAAGACCTCTTTCTCTTGGCTGCCTTTATGTTATAGTTTCCATGTCTTGTAGCCTAGATGGGCTCCCAGGTAGGAAAGGAGGTTTTCGTTGAGTTGATCTTAAGTGGATAATAATTATGCTGGTATTACTTCCTGAGCCTTTTTCAGTCCCCAGACATCTTGGGCCAGCCATACAGCTTAGAGAACAGGTGACCTGTTTCCA